GGGAGATAAAGACAAACCCCGTTCGACGGGTCCACAGGAGGCACTCTTCGGGCTCATCCCGGGCTCTCACTAGGAGAGACGCACTTAGCATAGGGTGTACTGAACTGAAAGCGGTGCCACACGCCGGCCTAGGGTACCATTTCCTAAGAGTACAGGTACGAACCATCGGAGCCTGGAGGTCTTCAAGAGGAAGTGGGGCCAAAAGCGCAAGTCGGGTTCGAAGCGACAGGGTGACGTCGTAGTGTGCGTGTCTGCCGAAAATAGTAGGTTAAAGGCCATCGCTTTTGGGTTGGAGGCCAACGCAAGGCTGTTGGGGCCAAAACCTAAGGTAGGAGGCCATCGCTAGTAGGTGGTGGACCATAGGCGCAAAAACACAAGAAACACAAGACAACCAAGGTTGGAGGTCATCGCCAGTGGGTAGAGGCCAGGGTACCAAGTTGGAGACCAGTGCTACCAGTTTACAAGAAGCACAAGAAGCACAAGAAACACAAGACAGCCAAGGTTGGAGGTCATCGCTAGTGGGTAGAGGCCAGGGTACCAAGTTGGAGGCCAGTGCTACCAGGCTACAAGAAACACAAAACACACAAGACAGCCAAGGTTGGGGGCCAATCTAGTGGGTAGAGGCCAAAGTTCAGGTTAAGGATCCCCTTACAAAGTTAGGAGGCCTACCTGCAAACCTATAGGGTAGAGCAGCGGAAAACAGAAGGAAAGGCACCGACACACACAAGTGTGTCGAGTACCAATTCCTCCTGTTTTCCTGAATAATGGAACAGGTACGGAAGTTTGCGTCCAAATTTCCATCCAGTCGATTTTCCGTAGCTTCATTGGCGTGACTAGGAAACCGACCGTCACGCCCTCTGTTCCAAACCTAAAGGTTCTCTTTATTCCAAGGGTTACACACACACACACTCTGACATTGGTCCAAGCACTTGTAGGTGTTTTAACAAAAGAGTTTCTCACTTGACTGCGGAAGATGCATTAGCCGCTGCTTTACTGAATACCTAGCAGACCGCCTATGCATTAGCCGCTTTACTGAATACCTAGCAGACACAGAACGGCGGCTTAAACAGTTATTAAATTTAAAAAATGCAGGTACGTTTGCACGGGTCCCAGAGGAGGTCTTCGTTGGCCACCGCTCCTCTGGGACACCCCGGTGGCCCCCTGCTTCTTTGTCTTTTTCTTTTGCTTTTTCTTTTTCTGCATCCCTGTCCCTGCCTCTTTGTTTTTTATTTATTTCTTTAGACCCCTTGGGTCTAGCGGCCTCTAGTTCCTAGTAGCGAGGCCAGAAACCATTAGTAGCATCCTTTCTTCAAGTGGGAACCTGCTGCATGCATACTTACCGGGCACGAACCTTGGAAACCCTTGCGTTAAACAATTTTGTTCTGCAGCTTTGTACACACATCGCCGATAGCGGCGTGCCGGAAGATTACTAGTCACCTAAAAAGCCTTAGAAAGAGACAAAGAAAAACAGAAAGAGAAAACGAAGAGGGCAAGAGAGAAAGATAGGAGTAGGTACGAGGCCGACTAGTTACGAAGCCTGTTAGTTACAATACATGCAGAAGCTAGCGAGCGGGACTTTTGTCTTATACCGCCCGGGTAGCTAGAAGTAGGACAGGAGAAATAGAAGGAAAGGCGCCAACGCACAAGTGCGTTGAGTGCGATTTCCTTCTATAACCCTAGATAGCGGGTGGGATAGCAACAGAGGTCCGGCGCAGGGAGGGGAGCCCGAAGGCATTGCCATCACTGACGTGCAAGTAAAGCCGATTTAGGGCCGGCGCACCCTTGTCGGAAAGGCACCTGGAAGCTAACGAAAGGCCTCAAGAAACGAAAAGCAACAGAAAGAGAGAAAGAACCCAAGAGCATGACAAGCGCATGCAACAGGAAAAGCTACCTAGCTGCTAGCTTGGTGACCCTGCGACATGTACCTCAAAAAACCGCATGGGTGAAAATCATGGAAGGGTGGACAGTAGCGTCACTGGTCTCAAAATGGTCATGGTAGGTAACGTGGTGCTGTACACTCTTGAAATCGAAAGCGAGCTGCGAAAGTCATGAAAAACAAACGCGAAGGTGGACCAAATCAAATCAGGTGGAAATTCCGCGAAGCCCGGAGGCGTAAGTTGCAGGGAATACAAGGGTGAGACCAGAATCCAAAGCATTGAAGAATGGTGGAGTCTGTTACACGAATTCCGGAGTGAAAACGGCGCCTCCTTGCGGAGGACCACACCCAGCACCCAAGTGAGACGTCTGAGCGGCTCACACTTTGACATTGGTTTTCAGTTAATCTATTCCCAAGTGGAAAAAAGGCGAGGGAACGGCAAGGCGAAAGGTCCAAGCACTTGTAGGTGTTTTAACAAAAGAGTTTTTCACTTGACTGCGGAAGATGCATTAGCCGCTTTACGCCTATGCATTAGCCGCTTTACTGAATACCTAGCAGACCGCCTATGTATTAGCCGCTTTACTGAATACCTAGCAGACCGCTTATGCACTAGCCGCCTTACTGAATACCTAGCAGACACAGAACGGAGGCTTAAACAGAAACAAAATTAGAAATGCAGGTACGTTTGCACGGGTCCCAGAGGAGGTCTTCGTTGGCCACCGCTCCTCTGGGACCCCGGTGGCCCCCGGCTTCTTTGTCTTTTTCTTTTGCTTTTTCTTTTTCTGCATCCCTGTCCCTGCCTCTTTTTTTTTCTTTAGACCCCTTGGGTCTAGCGGCCTCTAGTTCCTAGTAGCGAGGCCAGAAACCATTAGTAGCATCCTTTCTTCAAGTGGGAACCTGCTGCATGCATACTTACCGGGCACGAACCTTGGAAACAGGTGTTGACACACACACGCACGCACGCACGCACAAGTAGTAGCGAGGTAGATCAGATGAGAAGCCTTGTGCGGATCGAAGCCTCAGGTTCTCTTCTGCGCTCAAGCTTCCGAAGGCTTGAGACAGGCAAGTCATCACAGCATCCAACTCCGGCTGAAGAACTTCGTGTACGAACCTGATTTCTTGCATGGAAAAATAAGCTCCAAGCGAGGACTTTGCCACTGATGCAAAACACCCTTTAAGGCAATTTGGAATCAGAACCTGTTGGTATACAGTGAAGGCCTCACCCCAATAGATCTGTGATTGTGCAGGACGCGCAGTCATCCGGCCTTATCAGGCAGGTTCGTGTAGGATTTGCTTTTGTGCCTCTTGTGATATCGGGATTTCCAAAGGCAGGCCTGCTCACTGGGCTGCTCGAGTCATATGCGCCGGTGTTTGCGGAGCTAGATTTGAGACAAGTTCGACTCTTAGCGCCCCATAGTCACAGTGCACTATACCAGGACTTCGGAGTCCAATGTTTCAGCACTCTTTCTTTTCTTTTTTGGCTTTGCGCTTTGACATGTCAGGCGCCCAAGCAGGCCAGCAAAACCGGCAAAAACCATTGTGACTTAAATGACAGATTTTAGATTGACCAAGCACACAGTTTCTTTGCCAAAAGGCGCTGGCACCAGCAATTCTTGCCCCAGTGCTGGCCTCCATGACCTCTTTGCAATTGCTCAAGCTACGTGACTGGGGCAAGGACTGGGTGATTTGCTGCTTCTTTACTATGTCGGCAGTTAGGACCACCTTCGCGGTCCCTACGGAATTGCAGGGATTTGATCAAATCATTTTTTGCTCTCTAGATTTGGTCAACATTGACTTCTTCATAGTTCTTCTCAGAAAGCCCCGGCCGGTTCCATGTGACTCCTGGTTGTTTTGCTTCGCCCCTTCGCCTCCGACCGCTCGCGGCGGCCTTGCATCACACCTAGACCTAGCACAAGGGGGCTTTGTGGATATCATTCTGGAGTTCGTTGCAGAATCATTCGAGTCGTTCTGTTTGTGTTGCAGGGTTCCTACTGTATGTGACATTGCCCCATGCTGTCCCATGCAAGTAGATGGGCAAACGGCAAACTTACTGTAGCTACTTTCGCCCGGCCAAGCAGAAGACGTTGAAGTGAAGGAATGGCGGGAGTTAAGCCTTAACAAGCTGTATCACGCTTTGCCCGCTGGCGCAGCACTCGCTTGCTTCGATGATGAGGGGAAGAGCATTGTGGAAGTTGTGAAGAGTGCGTCCAAAGCAGTCGCACGGTAACGCCCAAAGCGCCAAGCCTCATGGCACCTCTGAACCGTAGCTCCGCGAGGCTTTGCGATTGATATTCATGTGCATTCTTCAGGCAGAGACTTCCATGCCGCGAGAAGCGTTAGAGCAGCAAAGGAGGCAGAGGAGTGCAGAGGAATCGGTTTGGGCACTGGCTTTGAAGGCCTCTTATAGCCAATGCTTTGCATAGAACATAGATGGACATAGCATGCCGGCACTGGGTTGCATTGCCTGGTGTTTGAATGGTAACGAAGCTGAGAGCAAAAAGCCGAAGAAAGGATGCAGACGATTTGTGCAGCGCCCCACGAAGTATCAGGGTGTTTGCGCACTGCAAGCACCTTGGAACAGGTCATGGCAGTGGCACATCATTTGCACGCACAGTGAGGCGCGCCCTGATGGGGTCTAGATTAGATCGATCGAAACTATCAACCGGTTGAGAGACCAGTACCACACTCTTGACATTTCTTGACTCTTGAGGCGATGGCCACCTCAGGAGCCTCAAGACTGAATGCACGTGAAAGTATGTGAAAGTATATATATATATAACTTCGTTTCAGCTTGTCATGTGCACCTGCTTCTTGACACATGTTGATTATTTGTCCGCGGCTTCGACTTTTAGTAAAAAGCCTAGATGTTACGATGACGTTGATGAAGCTCAGCTGACGTGATAGCTCCACATAATCACATGCTGTTTGCAGAACTTGTATGCCATTGCAGCTCCGAGACACACCGGCACCACACCAGTCGAAAAGTAGCCAAATAAGCAAAGGGGCGGTGTAATTACTTGCTTGAGTCGATAAGCACCCAAGCAGTGTTAGGCAGCATGGAAGGTTAGGCCTAGGCCTGAGGCTTCGCCATGGAATCTTAAACCTCGCATGCAGTCCAGAGCCCATGCTCTGTCCAAGAGGCCATGCCACAACTTCCGAAGGAAAGAAGCTGCGCCTCTTTTCCAGGTACGACTGCGATGTTTGTCATCAAAAAGTGTCGGAACGAGGTGGAATGTACCACAAGTGCATGGCCGGCTGTGACTTTCGCGTGTGTGGAATGTGCAAGAAAGAGGCGGAGAAGAGCAACTACTTTGTCGAACCCTGCACTTTTGCATTTCCAAGTGGCCTTGGGCCCTTTGAGATTCGGCGCACCCGCTTGCAGTCCCATGATTTGATTGCTCTACGCCGTGCCAATGTGGGGGATTGGGCTTTGGGGGAGACCTTTTTCCAAAGCGCTCCAAGCCTTCGGAAGTGCTGGGGTGCATTATTGCAGAACGGAGTAGTCGTGGAGGGTCCAGGTGGCCAAAGATATATTTCTGTTCAAATGTCACCAATCGCGACTGTGCGCCTCTCCTTGGAAGTGCGCGAGGCGAACAAGATCCCCGATGTTCCTGGGGTCATGGTGGCGTGGATGTATGCTTTGCAGCTTGAGTGGTCTATGATTCTCAGCATGATGGATGAGAATCAAGATGATGCCTCTGCCGAGTGGTCTTTCCTCAAGCTGGGGGGCCTAGTTTACTTTCAGCAAAAGGAGGACCAACGATCTTTCCAGGTGCTTTGTGCAAACTCGATTGCTTTTCATCCACGTGGTTGCATGCAGTTCTCTGCTGCCCAGCCATGGTGCTCCGAGTGGACGCAAAAATTGTCCCGCAGATTTCACAAGGTCACAGCACAAAAGTGGGCAAGTGCCGGTGCTCGTTATGTTTGTTGGGTTTGTCCCGAAGAGAAGATCTTGAGACCCGGTGCTCGCAACGGTGGCTTCGCATTTCTCTTCCATGAGCTCGATGAAGAAGATGTGGCGGGTCAAGACCGTTTTTTTGAGGTTGTGGGCAAGCCTCTCCGCCAAGGTCACGGCTATCAAGGCCCACAAACATCACAAGTCCAGCACGTGGAATCCATGGAATCCCAAACAGCCTTGTCCTACCGAGTGGTGGGGGAAGTGCCAGTGACCTCGAGACATATGGAGGCAAGCCAACGGCGTTGCTTTAAAGCTGCCAGTGGTGGACGTTGGGCATTGTTGGCACACGTCCTCTCTGAACTCCCACAGCTGGCAACTGCAGTGAATGAAGAAGGTGCCTCAGCAGTTTTTGCCTTTTGCGGCAGTGCGGCGGCTTTTGTCCATTCATACCTATGAACTTTGCTCTCTTTTTTGCACATCCACCGTAGCAAACGAACATGAAAGCGCGTGAAGAGGTAGGCCTGATAGCTACTTCTTAGATGTGATCACCCGCTCTTTAGCACATGGCCAGCAAGCGATCCAAACTCTCTCGATTTGGGGTTTGCTGCATTCTTCTGAGAGAGAAGAGGCAGTGACTCAGGTCAAACTGTGCTCCATTGCATTGCCTTGGGAAGGCCAAAGACGCGCCGCGCTGCTGAACTGCTTCGCATTGTGCATGCACATCACGGAGACCTAGAGGCACGAGACCATCAGGGACAGATGCTTGGTAGAAAGATGTAGAAAGCAATAGCTCCAATTTCTGCAATGGCCGCTGACGCTATCTCAGTACAGTAGTATTTTCTTGATGTTTCACAGTTGCACCCTGACCTTTTGTCGCTTCTTTGCCATGGGCCCTTTGCAACCCAGGAGAGCTTATGATCTTGGTGATTTGGTCTTCAAAGCTCAAGCCTGCGAAATCTGGGGACTATCCCCAGACCTTTTTGCAGACCCTGAGGCCTCGTCCGACCAGGTTTGCTGAATTTGTAGTTGTTGTGTTTTGTTCATTTGGTGTGTATATATATATATATATGTGCGCGTGTGTATATGTCAGCGGGTTCCGCGACTAGAGTTGAAACAGTCAAGTCTGATCGAGCAGTGAAGCCATGGGAGGTGTGGTTCGATTATTGGGATGTGAACAAGGATGGCCACTTGTCACCAGAAGAGTTAATCCCTGCCTTGACTGCAGCCTATGAAGTTGGTGATCTCGGCAAGCAGTGGATTGAAAGCTATGTGAACACTCACTATCGCGAGATGGCCGCGCTGGACCCTAATGCCCTTTTGACAAAGAGTGCATTTCTGGGAAATGATGGACTCTTGCACAAGCTGCAATCCAGTGAAGAGTTTATCAGTTTGCGTGGTCAAGAGGACAGCCCTCGCATGAACATGCCGGCTCTTTTTCGCACAGAAGGTCGAAAAAAACCTACAGCCGCGGACAAAGAGGCAGTAAATGTGTTCAGCGCCAGGCTTGAGGAACTGCGGAAAAAATTTGGCTGGGAACACGGGAAATCAGCTCCATCATGTTCTCGATTGCTAGAGCTGCCACCGCCATATCCTGGTGGAGACATTGACCCCGAGCGTCGTTTGAAGGCAGCGCAACGAATGCTGGCAGTTTCTTTTGCGAAGACCACTGCCCGAAGTGGCAAGGAATGGTTGCAAGGCTTCACCATACAGTTCACCGGCGATGATGCAGGGATTGACCATGGCGGCCTTACAAAGGCTTGGGTTCAAGAGGTTGGGTACGCGCTGTGGGGCAGTGATGCCTTTTTTGATACAACAGCTGCAGGAAGTCTTTTCAAACCCGATAGTGCAACCGACGTGCTTTTGCACTGCTTTCATGTGCCCTCTGAATCTTTGTACAGATGGCTTGGCCGCTTTCTAGCATATGCTCTCTACCAGCAGTGTGTGTTGGATTGCGCTCTCAGTCCATGGGCACTCCGCTGGCTGATACGTGTTATTGAGACGCAAGCAGCCGCACCAGCCCTACTCAGACAAGCAGCAGGGTCCTGGCGTCGTGATGGCAGCGATGATTGCAAAATTGCAAGCATTTCTGGATCCGTGCTTTTGTCCCACATGGATGCTTGGCAGCTACATGCATTTGGCCAGTGGCATTAGGACGCCATGTGCATTGTGTAGGTTAGTTGAGCATCACCTGAACCAATTCTGAGGATGCGAGTGGCCTTCCACCAGAAACTCCCCTCCGGGTTTCAGGCAAGTTTGTTGGGAAGTTGGGAGGGGTGAGGCGAGGGTCATAGGAGACCAAAGACAAGAGAACGCGCGATGACACTATTTGGACTCGGACAATTTGCATCAGTTCTGTCCTGGTAGGTCAACACATTGAGGCAGACTTTGACGGTGAAACTGTCAGGGCTACCCTTTCTGATGGCCAACTCCACTGGAGTGATGGAGATCTTTGGGTGAGATGTTCTGAAAGCTCCATGTTGCCCGTGTGGGAACAAACACCCACCGGGGATGATCAACTTCTAGAGGACCTGGCGACGATGGACCCGGCCATGGCCAACAGCCTGTGGCGTGTGCGGCATGAGATGCTGGAGGAGGATTTGCAGTGGCTCACGTTTTCATATGGCGGCCGAGAGCTTGTTCCAGGTGGAGATGATATAGATGTAAGCGCCGAAAATCGAGCGGAATATGTCCGATTATGTTGCAAGGCCGCCCTGTTGTACACTTCCCAGAGAGCTTTCCAAGCCTTCAGTGATGGATTCTTTGAGGTCATTCCCCCAGAGATGTTCCTGGGTGCTCCGGTTGACATTTTTCAATGGCTTTTGCTGGGTAACGCCCAGATTTCGGACGCACAGATGAGCAAGCTGGAGCAAATCATTATTCCGGAAGGCTTGGTGCCCAAACATCTCAAGGATCAAGCAGAGGTTCGAGATTCAGCTCGATGGGTCTTTGACATCATTCACAGGTCCGATGACAACTTCAGGCTGGAAGGGATGCCAGGATTCTATATTCTATATGATTCCAGTCTGTTCCGGCACTAGAGAAGACGCTCAGAAAATACGTCAGATGCCCATGCCACCACATGTGACCACCCCGACAAAGTCTCCACTACGTTGAACGAATACTTTGCTCCTAGTAGCGAACATTGTTCCTAGTAGTACGGCCAGGAGCCGCTAGTAGCGTCCTCTGACCCTGCGTTCAGGTCTCGGCTCTTCGAATTTTGGACGGGCAACGGGCGCCTTCCTCTGGGAGGTGTCGAGGCTATTGAGCCGAAACCACGGTTGCAGGTCATGGTCTCTCAGGAGAAGCAATATATTCCCGTTCGCACCCCAGATTATCATTTGCATTAATTTGCTTCTTCGTCAACACATCATTTACCACAATGTTTTTAGCCAAGTATGTCTACGTGTCACGTGTCTTGCTGAGGTGGACTATGTTTGGGAGGTCCAGATTCCTGGCGGCTGGCGAGCATACGGCCAACAAATGTGTGGCAATTTGAACAATATGCTTGAAGCTGGCCTCAGGACTGGCAGTTACTTGAACACGACTAGGGTACTAGGGTCCCAGCGCTTCTGACCTCTTCGGGATGTTGCAGGATGTGCGAGTTCCAAATGGGCCCTAATAAGATCGTGATTGACCTTGGCTTCAGCCCAAGACAATTTTGTCGGAGATACATACCCGAAGGCTCAGCAAGAGGACCATTGGCAGCGTTGCTTTGGCCTCCCAACTCTAAGGAGCTGGGCTACAGATTAATAGCCGCACCAATGAGCGACGCCGCATTCGGCGCCGGCCGCTTCAGTTCCTGGCTGATGACACTGTTCTCTCTTTGCAGGGGTAACTTTGTTGTGATTGTTTTTTTTTCCCACTAACTGAGGCAGCCACAGCCAGATAGCCTTCCAGTGATTGTGAAGAGGACAGCTTATCATTGCCATCAATCGGGCCCTCTCAAGTGCCGGCATGCCGCAAGGATTGACTCTTGGCCAAAGACTCGGCTGCCTGAAGGGTACCCTGGCGGGAATGAGATCAGCTACAGCTTTCCACTGTTGCTAGTAGCTATTTGCTCCTAGTAGTAATGCCCTTTGTTACTAGTAGCTTCTTGTTCCTAGTAGTATGGCCAGGAGCCCCTAGTAGCGTCCTTGCTCCTAGTAGCGATGCACTTGTTACTAGTAGCTTCTTGTTACTAGTAAGAAATGCCTTGCTTGGCCTTTTGAGGCACACATGTGGCAACGAGCTATGGATTCCATTGTGTGACTCGGAGGAGGAGCTTGCCAGTCGCCCAGAACCTCAACAGGGAAAGACAGCATCACCTTATGTCCTAGTGGGTCCTAGCGGCGATGGAAGAGCGGTAGTTCGTCGTCTCCTGTCGCGTCAGTTGATTTGCTGTGTTCCTTTGTTTTCGCCTCTTGAGACAGCTGTAGCTGGCCTATCCGCAGCCATGCGGTTCAATCCTGCAGAGCCGACAGTGGTTGTTTGATGCATATCTGTTCATATGCGACTTGCCTGTCACCATTCATCGCTGTTGGATACTTGAGTCAGAGAGGAAGCTTAGTTTGACGTGGCCAACCATGGACCATCTACACGGGTCCATAAACCTGACCAAAGCCCACACTCCACTTCTAGACATTGCGCATTCAATGATGTTCATAAGGGGTGTGTGTGTGTGTGTGTCAGTGTTTGTAGGTCTTTGTGTCTTGCACCTTGAGAGCAGATTCCCAGGCTATGGTGTGGAACTCCCATGGCTTTTTCCACTTCACTCTTTGGGGCTACCTGGAAGCACTTTTGAACCACAATCAGTTTTTTCACCTTTGTTTCAACATTACTTGTCTTTCTTCCTCTCTCCTCTCTCTTTTTTTTTGGGGGAAGTGCTCGAAATCGACCTTTGCCAGGACTCAGATTCTGCCTGGTGTCTCGCTTCGCCCTCGGAAGCATGACCGAGCGACAATCAAAGCCGGCATCCAAGAAGGGGGGCGAAAGAAAGACAGATTCTTTTGAAGGGGGGTTGGCCCCTAGTAGTAGAGGAGGTAAGTAGGCTTATCGTACTATAAGTAAGTAGCTAAGTAAGAGGTAAGAAGCTAATTAGTAGCTACAGATGCTACTGCGTATGGACCGCGCTCGCACTATTTTGGTTCCATCGCTTTGAAGTATGATCAAACGTGCACACAATGCCTGGTCCCCATGATTCAACATGTCTCAAGGCACGTGAGTCTTCAGATTGATGCTCAAGCTGCGCCTAAAGCTCTGATGCGGCAGGAGGCAGATTCCACTTTTCCAACTTAGCCTCGACAGCGCCTGAGCATTGCAGGAGCAAGACACACTGGGGTCAGACAGGGCAGACAACGACCCTATAGATGCCACAGATACTCTGTGGGCACGGCTCCTTGGCACGGCAAGACATTGTATCGTATATGTTTTGGATTGTTTTGGTATCTAATATATATATATATGTGTGTGTGTGTGTATATGTATATGTACACATATGTGCTAGATAATGTAATGTAGTTACTTGATTTCTTGATTTTCTTGTTTTGCCGCCTGTTGAAGTCAGCATGAGAGCCTTCTTTTTACAACATCCCTTTAGATACGGTATTTTTGCCTGGCAGGCTTTTCGGCACTGGCGGCTTGACAAAACTATGCTTTTGTGCATTCAGGGATGCTCAAGATATGTTGGATTTATATGTCCTGTGCATTTCCAGGTGCATCTATTCCAGACTTGACAGCAGTTCCTGACGAAACTGAAATTGGGCTCGTTGGATCAAATGCATCAAGTTTGGCAAACACGTCAGAAGGGACGAGTGTTGCCGCAAGTGATGATAGCTCCATTGCAGATTTGACTCTGGTTTCTGCCGAATCTCAAATTGCCCACCAGTTCCACCAGTTTGGAAGTGCTGCTTCGCCTGGATCAAATGCATCCAATGCGGCAAACACATCGTCAGTGCCATCATCAGCGCCATCATCAGAAGCAATGGAAGCAATGAGTGTTGCCCCAATTGTTCCAATTCTTAGAATCGACAGTGAGCTCATCAAGACTAATGGCTCTGGGAACTACACTGGCCCAATGATTCCAAGCTTCAAGGACTGTCGGGCAATCCAGCCAGGAAGTGACCTCGTGATACTTCGTGTATTTCCCCGCGCGGCCAGGACTGTCGAGATGTTTGGGTGCCTGAGTGGAGTTCTGAAGACCCAGAAGAAAATTGCAAGAAGTGGGCACCTTGCTTGCTTTGGTGTGGTGACCTGCCTTGAATCCTTATGCTCGCAGGGGCATGTTTGCAGAACAGCCGAGCTCCAAATCTAAGGCTCGCAACAGTGAGTGGGGTGCACTATCAACAGCATCCTCCTTGAAAGGTGCATGTAAAGGCCGAAAAACGGACAAGAGTGTGGGCAGAGCATGTGAGTTTTTACCGAATTGGTGGCAAGAGTGTTCCTGAATGTGCCAGTCGAGTGGGCGCAGTCAAATTGCATGGCAACTTGTGGGTGCGAAGATGCTTGGCTGCCATGTGAGGCATTGTAATTTCGAACTGTCATCAACCTTCACTGCAAGTTTGGTGCAGGACATTGCAGGATTCAGCATTTGAGATGCAATTCAAGTGCATCGATGTCCATCGTTTGTGAGCCAAGGATGTCAGACGCGCGTGGCTGGACAGAGCCATCCTGCAGATTGTAGAGGGAATGGGCTTGTCAAGGCAGTGGCTTGGCCTGGCAGATTGATTGATTGATTCATTCGTTCATTACTGTAATTCATTCCGCTGTTGATTCTTTGGTGGGTTGGACACACCTAGCCGCAAACTTCTTCAGCCATGGGCCATTGGGGATTGCGGGATGCTTAAGACTAAAGCATCTTGACCACTTGAGAGAAACGCTTCGCAGGACCTTTGCCCGGTTTTTTTCAAGTTTCCTCCAGCCCAGAAGTGACAAACCGTTCCCAAGCAAGCCTGATGGATTGAGGCAGATGGAGGAAGTGGAGTCGACATTGGAGGGCATTTCTTCATCTGGAAAGGAGGCCGTGCTGCATGTGGTGTGACTTGGACGCCTTGCTCTTTAGCTGGTTTGCACGGCACACCTTGAAATTAGCCCAGCTGGAGACCCCAATAGCAAGATACAAACCGGGACAAAAAGAAAAATCTGGAAACAGCTGCTGTTTTCAACACATCGACCATCTCTTCCTTGGACACCATCATCACATAACCGGGACACCATCACAAAATGACCAGGGCACCATCAAAACATGACCGAGACACCGTCACAACATGATTGGGACACCATCACAACATAACCGGGACACCATCACAAGGTGACCGGGACACCAGCATGACATGACGGGGACACCATCACAACATGACCGGGACACTATCACAACATGACCGGGACACCGTCACATGACCCGGACACCATCAAAACATAACCGGCACACCGCCAAAACATGACCAGGACACCATCACAACATGACCGGGACACCATCAAAACATGACCGGGACACCGTCACAACATGAGCGAGACACCATCACAACATGACTGGGACACCGTCACAACATGACTGGGACACAATCACAACATGACCGGGACACCATCACAACATGACCGGGACACCGTCACAACACGACCGGGACACCATCAAGACATGACCGGGACACCATCACAACATGACAGGGACACCATCAAAACATGACCGGGACACCATCACAACATGACCGGGACAACATGACCGGGACACCATCAAAACACGACCGGGACACCATCACAACATGACTGGGACACAATCAAAACATGATCGGGACACCATCACAACATGACCGCGCCACCATCACATGATCGGGACACCATCAAAACATGACCGGGACACCGTCACAACACGACCGGGACACCATCAAGACATGACCGGGACACCATCACAACATGACCGGGACACAATCAAAACATGACCGGGACACCATCACAACATGACCGGGACACCATGAAAACATGACCGGGACACCATCAAAACACGACCGGGACACCATCACAACATGACTGGGACACAATCAAGGCATGATCGGGACACCATCACAACATGACCGCGCCACCATCACATGATCGGGACACCATCAAAACATGACCGGGACACCGTCACAACACGACCGGGACACCATCAAAACATGCCCGGGACACCATCACAACATGACCGGGACATGACCGGGACACCTTCAAAACATGACCGGGACACCATCACAACATGACCGGGACACCATCAAAACATGACCGGGACACCATCAAAACAGGACCGGGACACCATCACAACATGATTGGGTCACAATCAAAACACGATCGGGACACCGGGACACCAGCATCACATGACCCGGACGCCATCAAAACATGACCGGGACACCATCCGCCCACCAGCTCTGACGGTGACCCGACGGCGCCCGTCCGCCTATTAGTTTTGCAAGACCCCATAGCATGGCTATTGGGGAAAAAGGAGAGTCAAGCCATACTGCATGGTCTTGGACAGATGTCCTCATCACTGGACATCGAACTGAAGGGGATGGTCCGGGGCATCTCCATCCAAGGGTTCTCCAGTGAGACAAGTTAAAGTAACCATCACATGAAGAAAAGTTAAAGCAACTTCGGCAATGTGTATACTTTGGAAACACTTGTTCTTGTTCGTACAGCGAATGGCTAATAAGGTGGGCTGCAGCTGGAGCTCTCAACATGGACAAAGCAAAGGCTTCACCTGCGGCTGCCGGGAAAGCCGATGCATACAGATAGCAATCATGGCAACGTTTCGTTCACCTGTCGACCTGCAGAGGTCGATTTCTTCATAGCAAATAGCTACTAGTAGCGTCCTTGCTACTACTAGCAAGGCCAGGAGCCCCTAGTAGCTTCTTGCTAGTAGCGATGCCCTTTGCTCCTAGTAGCGTCCTTGCTACTAATAGTAATGCCAGGAGCTACTAGTAGCTTCTTGCTACTAGTAAGGTGCCTTGCTACTAGTAGCGTTATGAGACACTTCTAAGAGTCTCTGCCTCAGGGCACCTGAAGCTAAGGCATCAGGAGAAGCGGCTGAGACAGGTGATGCGACGGATGAAGGATCAGCAGAGGAATCAACAACGATTTCACCTGCCGCAGCGAGTGACATCATCCGCATGTCTGCAGCCTTGGGCCTGGATACAGAGTGCCTTAGCGACAAAACAAATTTCACCGATATGCATATGTTTGGAATGAATGGTGATCCAAGTAGCCTTGACGGCAAACTATGGAACAGCACTCCAACAAATGAATGCATGCATAGCATCTTGGACAAAACGGGGCGAAGCTGGTTTGAGGCAAGCCAAGCAGCTTAACGCCACACTACAATTGATTGACCCTGAGCACTACGACGACGTCTTGGATGTTCTGTAACTTGGCATGCCACGTGATTTTGTGGATTCGTCGTTGTAGTTGATAGCCTCGTGCTCCCCACATTGGCCGTGTGGCCATGTTGAGCAAAATTCAATTCCAGCACGTTGCTAAACAAGGACAGCGATTCATAAATCCGCCTCGACAACAACAACGAGCACAGCAGTCTCCGATGAGGAAATCGAGCAGGCAGCATACGGCTTAGGCATCAAGGAAGAGCACCTCAGCTCCACATTGCAAGATTGAAGCCGAATGACCAGAATCCTGGGAAAAAGAGAAGAACACCGGGGCCTTATTAATGGAGCCCTTACCTTCTAGTTGTTGTTTCTCAGACTTCTCTTGTGTAAGATGTGTTGAGACTTTGCAAGTGCATCCGAACAGTCCGTCGAAAGACTCTTCGCGCGATGTCGGACTAAGGAAGCCGTAAGTCGTGAATTTTTAGCTTTAGTTTTGTGTAGTTGTTTTGTTCTGATGTCAGTTTATGTACTTATATAATATAGTGTAGCTTGGGGCCGCGAGCCATGCCCAACCACCAGAATGTCGTGGTGTGTTATGGTCATAATATGTGGCACAAATGGTTTGCATCCGAGGGATATAGCCCAGATCCATGCCACCCTCAGCAACATCAAGCCGGAACTGAACCATGAGATCCTTCATACGGTCGAAGACCTCAAGGTGCATGTCCCACAGAGCTTAGCAGAGCTTCCAGTGTGGACATTGAACATGGAGAGTGTAGACCTTGACATGCTTTGCGCTTTGACTGAGGCAAGCACTAAACAGATTGGCGCCACTGGGTTGCAAAAGACGAAAATCCGGAAAGACAATGGACAGATCGCTTTGTCTAATGGGAGCATACACTTAAATGCATGTGGCTTGCATGGGGGGAAACACGCTGGGACTTGGCGTGAATCGTTTGGCATTGCAGGTGGAGCGGACCCAGCCTTAGCTGTTTGGCTCCTCTATGTGCCACACACACAAGGCAACATGCAAGAGAACGTTGTTGGTATCGCATCCCATCAGTTCTTGCTCAGGACTGGAAAGGCAATCGTGAAGCATTTGCAGAATTTAAGCAAGCCGAGCACCAATCACCTTCCGCATGAAGTTGAACCCAATAACTTTGTCATCTCTGTGGCCTCTTGGCAGCCTTAGCAGCAGAAGAAGCAAGTAGATTGAGGGAGCCAACGCTGGAAAGGCTGCTGAAGTGATAAATAGATATATATATATATATAAATAGGAGCAAGGCTTTCAAGGCTTTGAAGCCGAGGCTTCTGCTGATGCTCGCGAGCTCTATCGTGAGACGTGCCTAGCAAAGATTTTCCTTTTCCCAGGCCAGGTTGCGGGTTCTGATTTGTTGGTCACTGAGGCAGGGGCATGATCCTCAAGGCTTCTATTTGAAGGCTCCTTCGGGCGCGAATCGCGCGAAGTATCACCTGTTCTTTGCGGCCTATCTTTGGCGGATGAGAGAACGTGCTTGTCAGGTATCTTTGCCAGTCGAGAAGGTGGTGAGTTTTATTGAAAAGAAAGCTGGAGTCAGCGTGGAACCCAGGAGCTATCTTGGAAATTGCATGATATTCTATTGCCAATCGACCCCACCTGTCAGCACGTCAGGGTTGTTGGACTAAGAGGATCCCTCTCTCCTCTCGACTCTCTTCCTCCGTCTCGCCTCACAACAGCAAGCGCAACATCGCAGTGGACACTGGACCTCCACTACTCTTCGAGCACAAACCAGACTTGATGCCACAAGCGTGTTCTCCATAGTGTCAATCCGCATGTCCGCCTTTGTCAGGCTAGTCAATACAGCCCCGCCTTCTTCCAAATCGCCTTTATACTCGAAGTAATTTTATGTACTGTAATTGGCAAATTTTATTGCCGGTGGCATGTAGCTAGAGCTGCAGGGACATTTGACGGTCTAGACGGGGTCAAGCCTTGTGGAACATATCAAAGACAAACAGAGAGAGGGGGGAGTTTACGCAGAATGCTCTAGTCCGGTGGTTCACCTTTGTTTGGAACTCAGGTGTGAGATTGTGTGAGTGTGTGCGCAGAGCTCGGTGCTTATTGACACGTCTTGTGAGCTTGACTCCAGGAGGCTGAGCTTGGCAATTGCTCGGTTGGAGTTTTCCTGGCCGCTTTGATGCACTGGCTACTTCTGCAAGGGGCTGGACGGTGTTTAAAGATGTCAAACGTGCCGGGAGGCGCATCACCTGTCAGGCCGTCATCCAGCTGTTCCAATGATGAGAGTGGCTTTACAGACCCTTGGATGACGGTCACACTCAGTCAGCATGTGCTGGCGCTTCAATGAGGAATGAGGTGTGACATGTGCCTCAACTGTTTTTGCCGTCAAGGACTTCAAGCTCTTGGATTTCCATGCAGGTCAGATGTCAAATGAAGGCTCTAGCTGTGCCAGATCAGCAAGAAGTTTTTACTTCCCTGCTTGTACACCAACCCCGATGCAGGGCGCACACACACAGATGCACTTGGGCAGTTGAACATCGTGCTCCAAGGTGGTTCACTGGTGGCAACTAGCATCGATCAGAATGGTGAGCTACGACTGCCCTCCAAGGGCAGCCAGGATCTGTTCCTGTTGGCGGGCATGTCCCTGCCTCGGCGCTGCCTCGATGTCCCCAAAAAACCTACGTCGTGCATCATCCGGTCTTTTTTCAGGTTTGGCAGCAAGTACTCGGACAGCTACGAGGGGGCCCAGGTTGGTGGACTCAACACGGCACATGCTCCAACCTACTAGCGATGGCCAACATACATGGAAGTGAGACAGAATGGTCACCGTGGAATCGTTTCCATGCAGGTGAACTTGAAAATTTCCCAACTGGTCTTTCACGAGATCCGGGAAGGTGGAGATGTGGTTGAGTACAGCCGCCTGACTACTGTCGAGACCACCCTTAGTGCAGTTGACCTTTGAATTGAGCACGTTCGTTTTAGCTGAGGCATTTGCGGCCGAGGGTCCTTAACCTGGAAGGCTCTGAATGTTAGTCGCTGCTTGACAGATCTTGAACGAGATCACTTGAGTCACAGGATCAGCACTTCTATTTGGGATGTCCAGACGAGAACCCTCTGACGATTGCGCACCCAGAGGGTAGCTTAGGGCTACTTGGCGGCAAGAGTCAACCAAAGACTAATTGATAGGGGCATATTGAGACTTCAATGTGGGCTCCAATGTGAGACAGCAGTTTTTAACAGCAACCCACGAAGCACAAGACAACAAATCCAACGTAAAACACTCAAAAGAATCCGAGAACCGGAACCAGGAGAGCAAGATGAGTATGATAAATGAGGAAGCGAGAACGGATTCAACTGGTCAGTAGTCCTTTTTTGCAATTGAATGTTGTGCCAGATCTAGGAAAATCTAGGTCTATAAAAATAGGTTGAAATTTATTGCTACTATATATATATAGTTGTTCTTAATCCTTCCTGCCTGCGTGTCAACTCTCGGAGTGGATGCTTTGCTAAACAAAGGAGCCAGCACACACGGGGTTTCCCTCCGCAATTCAAAATCCAGACACTGGACATTGCCAGGGACAGTGTGAAGCTATGTGGTGGCGGGGTTCCAGCAGAGGATGATGCAATCCAGTCAAACTGCAGCTCAGTGCAGACAAGTCCGCTGCAGTCCCTTCTATCAGCTTGAATGAGTGGACTTGTATTGTGGGAACCGTTTGCTACCACGCTTCCCAGCTCAGGCTTTGCGGTGCCTGAATCGAGTGAGATGTAGGCCGACAAGCAAGACTAATCTTTCATGCGGAAACGAGCCACTGAGCACTGAGCACAGCGCACTGAAAAGTGGTTGCACGCTTGGAAACGGGGGCTGTGTGAGTTAGTTAAAGTGCTTGTAAGCTTGAGAATCTTGGTGCTTCCACTTCTCACCTAAAGCTGAGGCCAAGCTGATGTACACAGCTGTGATGAATTTTGAGGCGGGCTGGTTACTGGGCGCGGTTGCAACCAGGGAAGGGCACCGGTTTCCAAAGTTGGAGGATTGCGAAAGAGATACGAGAACTTAGTTTGCATTTTGAGTACTAGTTTCCCCTTGCATCTCAACTGTGTAAACACGGTCAGCTCGAGCTTTGGACGATATTCATAGGAATAGCTGAAGCTCTTGGGATCACAGCTGTTTTACATTCTTACACGCCCCATTCGTCACGTGGCTTGATCAAAGCACATACCATGAGCAGGAACCAATGTAGGATAACAGCCCACCCATTCATCGGTTGATTTGTTCTGGTTCACTAGATAGGTGTGGAATGCTTTGGAATGAAATGTAGGAGACGCAGGCCAAAGCTTCGTGCTAGGATGACACCTCAACTCCGAGCAATGGCTTTAGCAATGCTGACAGTGCTTCTCCCAAGGTCTTTCCACCAAAAAAGCGCCCGCGTTGTCTGGACTGTCTCTGGCAATGCCCACGTGAACAGTGCTTGGTCAGTATTTTGTGCAGCTCTGGCTCTTCATTCTTTGCGGGTATGGTCGATTGAGTGGTGGCAAATAGGCTTTCGGGGAATGATTGCTTTGGCTTTGAGGCACCTTATAGCCGTGGCTTGTGGCCTGCCATGCCTTCGCAACATCGTGCAGCGAGAAGTGCGCAAGGAACTTGCATCAGTCGAGAGCAAAATGCATGGACAGGGAGATTCGCAGGCTTTGGTCAAGCTGCCGCAAGAAGCCTGGTCCTGCAGCCGAATTTGGCAACAGATTCAGCGTTTTCAAGCAGCGGAGGCATCCGTATATGCCGCTCGGCCTGAAAGTCAGACACAAACAAACGCTTTCATGCAACAATGTGTATCATGTTCCGGACTAAGCATTGCAGCCTATTGCAGCAACAGTGGTGTCTGAGGTTGGCATTGCCAAGAAGTGGGCTGGCATATATCATGCTCCAGAAGGTGACTTGGTGAATTTGCAAAACAAGGTCTGGAGCCTCTACAACTGCTCCAACACTCTTTATGAAGGGGTCTTCCCCTCTGTCCGCAAGTTTGAAGCGGAACTGATCAGTTGGATTCTTCATATGTTGCATGCAGGCACATCAAGCTGTGGCCTTCTTACATCGGGTGGCACAGAGTCAGTTTTGTTGGCTGCTTTGGCTTATCGAGAACTAGGGCACCGTAGGGGGATAGCAACCCCACGCATCCTGGCCGCCAATACGTGCCACCCTTGCATTGTCAAAGCGTGCCACTACTTCGGACTGAAACTCACAAAGATCCCCGTCCATGCATCTTCAGGCTTTGCACTCACTGCTGCTGCCGTTAAGTCTCACATAACAGGCGATGTTATTTGCATCTATGCTTCAGCCCCTAGCTTTCCACATGGCGTCATAGATCAGATCGAAGACCTCGGGCAATTGGCAAGCTCCCATGGCATCGGTCTCCATGTGGACAATTGCCTTGGTGGAATTCTTCTCTCCTTTTTGGACGCTCAAGATTTGCCAACACATCAGCGGTGGGATTTTCGCGCAGAAGGAGTGACTTCCATCAGTGTGGATGTGCACAAGTATGGCAATGCCTCCAAGGGTGTGAGTGTGGTGTGCTTTCGAGATCCGGAGCTCAGGCGATTGACGTATGTGCCAGTGACCGACGGCTGTGAGGGCTTGTATGTCACACCAACGATGCAAGGCGCACGCGGAGGTGCTATTATTGCTCAGGCATGGGCCACCATGCTTAGCTTTGGGAACCACGGCTATGAGCGCTTTGCGGCTGAGATCCACAGGTCCCACTTGAGATGCCAGGAGATTGTCAACAGCATCCCTGGGCTGTGCCTCGCCTAGTCATTGCTTTTTGTTTGAGCTCTGGTTTGTTGACCATCAGTGGCCACTGACTTCGGATGCGATTGGATTCCATTTGTGCTGAGGTTTGTGCTATGCAAGTGCCATGCATGCATTGTTCCAGTGGGTTCAAAAAAGTATGACATCTATGCCGTGGCTTCGGTGTTGGAGGAAAAGGGTTGGAACCTAGCAACTGGGCAGAATCCACCTTATTTAGGCATTTGTATCGGGGAGCGTCATTCCCAAATCCTTGATGAATTTGAGCAAGACCTGCGGTCTGCCATCGCGTATTTGGACGAGAATCCTGGCCACAAGCCTACAGGGGCAGCTGCAGTGTATGGTGCCATGTCGACCACTCCGACAGCTATTCTGGAAGAGGTTGTGAAGAGATATGTGGACATGCGCCTGTGGGTCAAGCCGCTTCAGGTTGATACGGATCTTTAAAGCTGAGCTTGGTGGCTGTTCGACCTCTCTCCGAGTCCCTAGGCCTGAAGCTTTTGATCCACTGAGTTGGCCTGCGACTGACCAGCGAGAGTTCGCATGCGCTGAGAAACAACAAGCCATGGGCCACTGGGTGGGAATGATATAAGATAAGTGACACGAGTCGATATTGCACAAGGCAAGTTCATGCCGGTCCCGAGGGTTCGAAGAGGTTCTGGGTAAGTGTTTAACAAATCATGAGACCGGTCAAGTGTTGTTGACGTCCTTGTTTGTGCTCCAGGCTGGTTTCGCGATGAGCTAATCCAATCGCGAGCAACAGACGGTGCTGTTACTGTTCTATGCAGTGACCGTGCCGCTCATAGTTTAGATCGGATCTTTTGGCGGTGGGTTTCCCGGCTGACTGCAAACACATGTAGACTAGGCGTTCAGCTGGCCGCCGTGAAAAAAGACATTGTCAATCAAGACCTCACACCAAAATGTCTGAGAAATCATTTGGCGTGCATGATGTAGCCAATGCTGGCCATTGGTTTCCGCAGCCCAAAGCTCAAGGCAGGTGCCCAGGGATCTGGGATCGTTTGGGTGCTTTGCTCAATGGCGCAAATGGCCGCCGCACAGCCTCCCGTGGATCCAAAGACGCAATTGACACTCCCTTGCATCTATTCAAGCAAATATGACTACGAAGGACACCTATATATTATGCATAAGAAACTGCATGTGATATATTCATATATATATATACTGTATATATTTGTGTATATAACTGAGTTTTGCACGCGCACCTTGTGGCTGCCACACTTACTGTACTGAATTTTGGATGCTAGGTCTCAGGCTCGGTATCAGAGATGTTCATGCAGGGAGGCAAAGAAACTGTACCATTTGCTGCCAGTGTTTCGCTATTGAATTTCAAAGAGGAAACATGACAACAATGTCCGTCTGAATGTCTCTTTAGTTCGACTTCTGTGGAGCATTTGTCATTAGTTCTGCTTCAGATTCCGCGTTTGACCTGAGGAATCATTTTTGTCAGAAGTTTTGCCAGCGGCCTGTGACCAAGAGCTACTTGGTTTTTTAATTCAGTTTGACAAGAGCTGCTTGTTGCGAGTTGATGCCGGAACTCATGAACTTGCAGAGCTGAGGCGATATCTCATACACCACCAACAAGCATCCTGGCTCATTTACAGTGATTTCCGGTGTGTGGGTCAGGTAGTGTCAGGTATATTATCAATAAATTAATCATCTCTTTAACTAGTGCCAGTCCTGGCCCCGGAAGTTGACTTCCTTTGTTCCTCGTTCAATAGCGGTTCCTGTTCTCCTTGCTGTCGGTTCCAGGGCACCTTGGACGTCATTGATGGTTGACGAAGTGAGGTGGATTGAACATCCCTTCCACTGCGCTGGTTGCACCTGTTCTCCCTTTCCTCCTTTTCTTCCTTTTCCTCCTTTTCTTTGGTCGTTGTTTCTAATAGCAATGGCCTCCACCCGTTCTCCCCCCCGCCAAGCTGAGGTTCGGCAACAAGCTCCTTGGCTCTGCTCGAATCGGATTGACCGCAGTTTTCTAAGACAACAAACTCCATCAGCGACATTACCACATGCATTCTGAAGTTTCTGCGGCATTCTTGTGGAAGTAGGCCTTACCATGTTATGCTTCTGCGCAGCTTCCTTTGATTTGTTGCTTGCAGAGTCTTCGTGTGTAATTTCAAAGCGCTGTGATTCGCAATTTCTCAACAACTGACGATAACTGAGGTATCAAGCAATTGTGAGGCTTGACTGTGTGCAGGGACAGGAGTATGCGGGCCACCTTGTGCTGAACCAAAAAGATGCTGAGAAGCGAGGTTCTGAGATGGGTGAGGCTGATCAACAGTTATATATATAAGCGATGTTAAGCTGAGCAGCCTACACACCCTTGGGGCCAAGGTCTGCAGCTGAGCAGGCCATCATTGCTTTCTCGCAAAGTGAGTTGCTAGAGCAGCAGACTGCAGCAGACAAGGACCCAAAGGATTCATCATATTCTCGCACACTCGGACAGGAAAATGGACTCTGCTGTGCACTGAACTCTTTGAACTTGCAGCTGGAGGACAAAAAGAAGAAGAAGCCGACAAAGCTGACCCCGGAGGAACATGCCCAGAGAAAGGCAAGGTTGCACACTGATTTGCAGCTGTGTTTTGATGTGTTTTGCAACAGCTACGCCCTTTTTTGTGAAAACACTTGTTTGGGTATCAGCGTTCCATTGGGATTAGCTCCCACGGCTGACTGGGGGATGACTTCTGGGAAACAGCGTTGCCATGGTGATTTGGCATTGAAATAGTGACTTAGTGGCAAGGGATGACTAAGGGATGACTTTTGTCAGGTTCCTGTACGCCATGTGGTGCAGTGATGCGCGTTTGATGTACTCTGTGGAGGCTAAGCAGGAAGAGGAAGGCAATCCGGCAGTAACGCCAAAGACATTGCTGAACGCAGCACAGCCGCAAGTTGGTCCATTGAGAGTCAATTGTGCATATTTGGGTTTTGTGCAAACTTTTTTTGATTTTGTTAGAGCTTCCGATAGCTGAGCTTCAAAAGGTGTTCCTCCTCAGACTTGTTCTGCTTCTGTTTCGCTGCAATCCAAGGCCTTGGTGATGAAAATTATCAAGCGGTACCTCCAGAAGGCCCATTTGGAAGTCACGAAAGCCAACTCCCATCACCTCGTTTCCGGCCACTTTCACTCACCTCATCTTACTTGGCTCAATCTCATCCTGGTGTCCATGTTGTGTCCTAAAGCCATAGCCCATAGCCCATGGCCTCACTTTTGGCCCACTTCGATCTCAGCACCTCACTTCACCCTCTACTCCGTTGGCCTCACCTCCGTCTGCGTCCCACAACCGACATCGAACTCAATTAACTTAAATCATCAACCCGTTGATTCTACTCAAGCGTATTGAAGTTTCAGTCACTAAAGTGTGCAGCAAACAAACATTCATTAAAGTTTTTGTCTCACCTCTCCTTATGCTTTGACTCCTTCGCCTTGCTGATCCCACTATATTATACTGCTCGCTCCCTTGCTGTTTCTTTACCTTTACCTTCGTGGGTCCCTTCAGACACTGACAATCCCTTTTAATGCACTCATTTGCACTAAGACAATTTTTTGATCCCTTGCTAGCTTTTAAACTCCCCACTGCACCGGCCTTTGTTCTTGTGGAGGAAGGCAAACTACTTTACAATGATGCTTCTTTCAATCCATTTTGATGCCTGATTCTTTTCAGGGTGAGACTGTTTATGAGACCAAGACCTATGCTGGTGGTGGGCATCAGGACAGGGTCGGTCATGACAAGCAGCTGCTGAGCGGACTCAACACTTGAGGCCACGGTGAAAATCACAGCTTTGCCAGACGAATGGGGCAGCCGAATGTGGGCTGGCCATGCTGCCCGACTGCATTGTGTCCCACCAAGCATGGCGCCAAGACTGGCTTCGGCAAGTGACCCATGGAATGCTGCGCGCAGGTATGCAACACGAAGCAGAAGGCGTGATGACTCGTTGCACGCCACCGTCACACATGACCTACCCAAGTAAGTGACTCATTAGGCCGAGCAGAGTGCTGCTGAGATGGCCTTGGAATCCATAAAGCAGGCAGGTGGTAGCCATGGTGGGAGCATGCGGGATTTGCGGGATTTGATGGGTTCCACCCAAAGGTTGCTGGAAGCACGTGATTGGCATACGACAGGATGCAGAGCTCATGAAGGAGTCCGAGAAGCCAAAAGGAATGGGGAAGGGCGAGAAGGCTGTTCAAGCAAAGTGTCCTTTGATGTTTCTTGTGATGCACGACGTGCAGGGCAAAGGCAAGGGCAAGGGAATGTTGTGGGGCCCATGGTCATTCGGATGGACACTTGGCAATGAACATTGCAAGCATCAAGTGTACACGTGCTGGGACCAAGCATGGACATGCTTGACGGCGCATTGATGGAACTTGGTCGGACTGAGGTGGAATGCAAAAGGCGGACTTGCAGAGAATTTTGAAGCGGACCAAATGAATGCAAATGCAAATGTGAAGCTTCCATGGCTTGACATTTGCGTGGAGCTTCTTGGGTTCCAGGCTCCGATCTTCCCCGCAAGCCCGTAAGCACGGAGCCTATCACTGGCGAAGTCGTCGAGTGGAAGGAGATGCCCGTTCAATAGGGTGAAAGCCCTTGTGTGCGGCAACCCTCAAATACAGTAGCAGTTGCCTCTGTTTTACCTATAGTATGATGACATATGATGACCAATCTGATGCCTTTCATTGCCTTTCCATATTTGGTCTAGGGCTTGCTCGCACTTTTTGGAGGATGCCTTTGGGTGGATCAAACCTGACGTGACTATCGATCACAAAGATGCTGGCCGCCGTGAAGGGAAGATCTTCGCTGCTTGACAATGACTTGATTGAGTCCGAGAGTGAGTGACATCCACTTCAATTATGCCGCCTCGTTAGAATGCTATTAGGTTGGAGGCCATCGCTATTAGGTTCGAGACCATCGCTAATTATTTGGTTGGAAGCCGTCGCTTAGTAGGTTGGAGGCCATATCCTGTACTTGTGTCTCTGTTTGAGGTTTCTCGTGTCGGGCAGGGTCCCTGGGTCCTTGTATGCTGCAGGTTGGGAAATCCGATGTGCCAGAGGCTCTGAAAATGGCACGGGCCCAAAACAGCTTCACAAACAGAGCTGCTCCGTGCAGCTTCTTTTGAGCTGTTTGGACCTAGGCAGCTGGTGTTAAAGTGAGCTTCGCTGTCTATGAGGACATGCATAGAAGGGACGGGAAACGGTGTGAAGAACGCCCACAGCAACGAATACACATCACACACATCATAAATAAATATAAATATATAAATATAAATAAATATATATAAATATAAATATAAATATAAATATGTTTGGTGTTCAGCTGGTTTGAGAATTTGTGCAGGATATGATGGGTCTTGGAGCTCAAGATTTGCAAGCACTGTGACCAACTCCGGTGCAAGGTGCTTTGTCGAAGTCAGCCACTTCTTTTGGATCAGTTTGATTGACATATGATTTCCTGCTGTCCAGGCTAGTGGCCTCACGATTGAAGGCCGGGTTGTGCATGAAAGGTTGAGTGTGCTGAGTTTCTGTGCTTCAGAGTGGGAGCTTGAGTTTGGCTTTTCCGCAGGAAAGCCTTTGTCTGAGAGCCTTGTGGATGTTCGGTTGGGCTTGCAACGTTCTGTGCCCTAGAAACCCAAGAAAGGGCAAGTGACAAGGGCGTATTGAATTCCACAATGTTGACATGCCATTGCGAGAGGGAAAGGGTACTGCAACTAGAGTGCAAATAGACGCCTATGCCTTGGGCCTTGGAGCACGGCTGGAGGCTTGGGTCAAAGGCAGTACAACATGTTTTCCTCAACTGCCGAAGCATGCAAGATACACCTGTCTTGTTTGGTTTTTGTCGTGCAAGATTGGTTTTGGTTCGGTCATTTTGCTCCTCATTTGCCAGTCCAGTTGCGCATGCGGGAGATTTGACCCGAACCTCCAAGCCTTATGTCCAGCTCGTCAATTGTGGCTGGCCCTTTCACTTGGTGCGATGGAGTGCTTTGACTGGCCGACTGCAATCGTTGAATCAATGAACCCATGGCCGATTGGCGGATGTGGCCAAAATGCACTCCCCTTTTTTGCAGCCAAGTGTACTCTGCTGAGCTGTAGGTTCGTGAGACATCATTGCTTCAGCTTCCAACTTCCCTGAAGTCTCTCCTGCTGGGACCCGGGAACTCGTCGTTCTTCGCACATATTAAAAGGCAGGAATACCAGGAATGTTGTATTCGTGTACTGTTCGTGTTTGAGTTCCTACGCCCAACTGCATTGCGCCTTTCGAGCAGTGGGCTATTGCGATGGGGCGTGCCATCGGTGGCAGGACATCACCTGTCGGGAAGTGGCATCTGACTCCGCACATCTCTGTCCTCAGGGGCCTCGAGATATGCCACGCCAGAGCAAAGGGCGCCAACCAAAGTCACACTTTGACCCAGTCGAGGTGGGGTGGTAGTGTCAGAGTATGTAGAAAGGTGAATGACAATTACTGTACATAATATTACATAGCTTTAAGATGCTTTAAGATCGAACAGTTGAAGCGTTCGAGTGCAAAGTGGCAACACTTGGGCCTTCGCCTGCACTTGTATCGTTAATTTGTGCCGAGCGCTTTATGCAATAACAATAAGCACCTCCCGCCAGGTTTTGCCTCCTACTGCGCCTGTCATTGTGGATCGATCTAGATTCATTTAGATACCGTATGTGACACTTTTAGTCGTGTGTTCAACCTTTGCTCCAATTCATCATGTTTGTATTTTTGAATAAGAACTTGTTGGCGTCTGCTGGATGGTCAGAAGAAATTGCCTGGGGGTGTGGTGACGGTTGTTATTTGATCACAGAGCTTCAAGCATCTACAGCCGAAAGGCAAAAAGGACGCTGTGTTTCTTGCTTGTGAACCAAGCTTGCACTTACTCGGGCTTTTCGCAAGTGAGAATCTGAAGGGAAAGAAATGTCACATGAATCGAGCCGGAATTTGGCACCAGGAGAGGTGAGATGACGGAGAACTGTGGGGGAGTTGTGTGAGGGCAGCAGGGTGACCTCGGTGAAGACACAGAGGTTGCATTGGATTTTAGAGACGAAACTTGAAAAATGCATCGCCTGTCAGTCACCATTGGTAGAGACCTCGAGACTGAGCGTGAGCGGAGGTACCTGAATACTGGAAAGTTGTGGATTCCTGTTCCACCACTTGGATGTTGTGGGTAAAGACAGTCTGTCCCCAAAGGTGACTGTTGCCTTGGTGTGCCCTTGGAAGTATTTCAAGGACGCAGGGTCAGTTGAGTTGGGACGCTGAGAGCCTGCAAAGGAAAAAGTGGTTTCAGCTTCGTCTCTCATGTCACCAGAGACGGGTTTTGCGAGCTGCAATTTGCTGCACCTGACTTGATGCTGGAACAGGGCCATCGTCTTATGCGGAGCTCTTCCACACGTTGTCAGGATCTTGGTGCTTAAAACAGCTTGAGAGCAGCTTTTAGGGAAGCCGGTGGCTGCTGCATAGATCTTGCTTTCCAAGGCTGGACCTTCCTTTGCCTGCATCTCATTGTCCCTCCTTTCCTTTGCTGGTTGTTCGTTATGTCACTGAGGACGGCTGCATTTATGGAACAATATGAGAGGCCCGAGGAGCCGCAAGAGCTGTCATTTTGTTACTGGTAGAAATGCCCTTGTTACAAGTAGCAAGCTATGACATAGCTGCCATGATAAGTTGTTGGGAAACCGGTGAAGCCACGAAACTTGTTTGGCTAAGGAGCCTCATACAGATGCCCAGATGATGCGATTGGGCCTCGACAGAATGCTGGGAGCGCAGAGATGAAGCAACAATATTTAACAATATGCCAAAAAGTGTCTATGGGCTATGGATTCGTTTCCATCTAGCTCGCTGCAAGGTCTCCTCCATTCAAGATTGTTCACCAGTGAGCCTTGCTTTTTGTGTGGCTTTTGCAACTAAGCAAGCCGTGATTTGTTGGCGTTGTGTGCTTGGGCTCAGCCTGCTTTTACTTCACAGGTACATCATGAGAAACCAAGCTGGCTTAGGAGGGGTCCAGAGCCTATGGTGCCTTAGTGGTAATATCGTGTGAGGTCTTGACGTTTTGACTGCCCCAAGGTGTGTATTTGGGAGACACGGGATGAGGCTCAACTCTCCATGATACGTGCCACTCAGCATGAAAAGGTGTCATTCAAGATGTCGCCAAATTTGGGCGATCATGGTGTCACCGTATGCCACCGTGTCATCTTTGATTTCCTTTTGAGGTCCTTTGGAACTCTTTGCCTGTGACGCCACGAGTCTGAGACAAAGTTTGACGCAAAAAGGTTCTCGTCTCCTCTCTTCCATCCCGCAGTCTGGCTCCGAAAACGGTGAATTTCTAAAGGTGCATTGCGACAGCCGAAACTTTGAGGTTTTTGGGAGTTGTCCCCTTGAGTGATAAGAATTATCGGGATTGGAAGTCAAATCTAGGGCTTCGCAGACCTTTGCAGAACGGCTGGCAAAGGGGATTTCGTGTAGTGCCTGGCATGGCGAAACAAGGCTGTACAGCAGTCTGGATGGCATGAAAAAAGCATTTTGAAGCTCTGGGAAGTCAACTTGATCTACTTTAGTCATAGTCTTCTCAGACGGTTGGCTTGAAAGATCCCCCCCAAAAAAAGACTCTTCAAGCCACCAGTGTTGATCGAAAGCAAGGCCAAGCGACGCAATCAAACGTGCTCGACGCTGAGCAGGAAAGTTGAGCTTCTCCATCTTGAGATGAGCTCCAAGCGATGCTGAACCTCAGAATGCCCAGGAGACTTAAAGACATGCAGACGGTACCGCTTACAGCACCATGCTCAGGTAAATCACCTGGGAGCAGGAGTCCGGACATTGAGCACAAGGCCCTGGTGCCACACTTGCGCTGACCAGCCGTCCCCTACTGTATTTGGTACCATTCAAGCGGATGGCACATTTGTGAGGCTTCCAAAACCACCAAATCCAGAGAAAGCGATGATGACAAAGCCAAAGCAGAGGAGAGATCGGGTAGCGTGTTGAGTGATCGCGCACACATTGCGCCTGCACAGATGCTGCCACAGGATGAAAGGGAGAAAGCCAAAGTCCTGAAGACGCTTGATGAAAGTCTTTGGTGAACGGATTGCTGGCCTGGTCCTCTGGTGTTTGCCAGCTGGATGTCCATAAGGAAAATGGAGAAGAAAGCCAAGAAGGAGGCCCAAGACAGCTTCGCATAGCGGCCACGGTGTTTTTCTTTTTGCACTGTGTTTGTTGGCATGTCCTAGCAGTGAGAGTTTCCGAGGCAAAAAAAGCCAAGAAAGCTGCAAAGAAGCTGCAGTGTCCTCAGAATGTTTTGCCGTGTTCCCCCTGCAGTTTCGAGCCGGGATGGTACAGGAAGAAGCTCAAGAAGGCAGCAAAGAAAAAGAATGGAAAGCAGAAGCCTTATTGGAGCAAATATAACTTTTATTCCGTTTTCTTTGCTTCAAGTCCACATGTGCCTTTTATGGGGTTGAGTTTGTGCGCGCAAGGCGCCATAAACTCAGCATGTCCAAGGAGCGATTCGAGCGACTCTGATGAGTCGAGCAGCATTCCCTTTGTCCCTCGGGTGCAGAATCCGAACAGAAAATACAGTCACATGTATACAGTGACAGGTGCCTTACTAGTAGTAACAAGTGCCTCGCTAGTAGTAACAGGTGCCTTACTAGTAGTAACAAGTGCCTCGCTAGTAGTAACAGGTGCCTTACTAGTAGTAACAAGTGCCTCGCTATTGGAAAGAACACACATACAGTCACATAGCATGGCAAAGTGGCATAGCATAGCCGCTGCCAAGGTCATGGACATGGGCTTCTCGGCCTCTGGAAAGGAGACAACGGAACTGAATGGGTATAGAACTGCATACAACACGAGCGAGGAGCTAGATCCTCGAAATCCAGATGCCAGAATCCAAAGGGACCTTGGCTTAGAGAGTCCAAGCATGGCAGCCTGCCCAAGCTGCACACACTTGTCCACATGTTTGTCGTTTGGGCACAGGCTTTGGGTCTGAGCTGCGGAGCCTTTTCGTTCATTGAGCGGAAAGATGATGAAGAGGCTTTGACCACAGATGCCACACCTTGCTCACAATTGACTGGCCTTATACCCCAAGGTCTACAAGGATGGGCGGCAACAGAAATACAAGGACCGCGAGACAAAGCGTTCTTCCTTGCTACCAGTGCAATACGCATCATATCAGTATGATCACCATGAAAAGTATGCATTTGTTAAATGCATTGTTGATTCTTGAGCTGTTTCTCTGAGGATGGCGAGGACACCAGCAAAGACTGGATATGTTTGCGGTCCAAAGCCAACGGAGAGCCGTGCCTCGGAATCAATATGGATCAAGTGCCAGCAAGATTGCAAAGTTTAAAGGGTTCAAGCAGGCAAATGTGTGGGACGCAATGGGAGTCTTTTTCGTTCTTTTGTGAGGTTCCCTCACCATGACTCAATCAGGCCACACGGCACACTCACTATCAGGTGCGGGGAGCGGAATTTCCCACGCAATGAGAAGTGCTTTCGCTGCAGTGGCCTTCGTCAAAGCAATGCACCTTTGGCAGCTCTGCCAAAAAATGTGTGTGGGGAGAGAGAGAGAGAGACGTCACGTCGATGAAGCTTTCATGTTAAAGTTGAGCCCAGGTCAAGGATTACAAGCCGATGCTGGGCTTTGCTTGATTTTGCCATACTTAGTCAGACGTAGAAGCAGGGCTCAGCAAGATCATTCCTGGAAATGGTTTGTCAACTATTGAACATTTGGCCAAGGAACAAGATCGACGGGCGCAAGTTCTGAGTTCGGACCGGCCAATGTGGTGCAAAGGGTGTGCGCACAGACCGACGCCCTTTGCCCTGGCTTTACACCGCAAAAAGTAACCGACAAAGATGAAGAAGAGACCAAACTATCTTAAAAGGAGTGATTGCCTTGAATTTTGGCGTCATGTTCTTTTACGGATACCAGCGGATGCTGCCACGGTCCGAGGTGTCAAGTGTTTGCAAGCTGGTACCTCGCTTCCTCAGAGTGTACTTTGATGCCTCCTCCCCAGGTTTAGAATTGACAATTCAACTATTTTCAAGATGTTGGGTGCTGCTGTGCGGATCATGGTCGCCACCGCAGGTGCTGCTGACAAATGCTCCGCCTGAGTGTATTGAGAAGGCTTTGAAGCACAAAGGAATGAAACAACCTCGCACCGGGCACGTCATGAACAAGCTTTCCTGTTGAAAAGGTCGAGCTGCGGTCTGCTGCGGTTTGCATTCTTCGCAGTCGCAGTCTCACCGCTGCAGGTTGTGCCGTTGCTGCTGCAGCGATTTGCATCTTTATATCCGGTGGATTTCTTCTTAAACTCAGCTCGGGCCCTGTTTCAGCTTGACATGATGTTCATTAATTACTAGGATATGATTTGTCAATATTTGATCATATTTGTCATGGTTTTGTGCTCGTGGCATGTGGACTTTGGCGATGATGAACTTGTGCTGGCTACCACCTGCAGTCGTTTGTCACGCCTTCCCTCAGGTCCATACCTTGATCATCGACACCCTTCAGGCACTGAAGCTGCTCATGGCTTTGTTTCGGCATGGCCTGATTGATAGTTTGTGCTTGAGGCTATATTCCAACAGTGGCCGGAGTTCCTCATGTCATTGCAGAGGGAGGCACGAGCTCAGCCGGTTTGGCTTAGGAGTTCCTCCCAGTTTTTGCGACCCCCTCCGCCAGGTCGTGCATGCAATCTCCACTCACCTTGACGTACAAGGTCCGAATCAAGATGAATAATCAGGGTCGCCGAGTTGATCATTATGACTCTGGACTATGTGAGGCTGTGGTAGGCGGAGCCCACCTACCCCCAGCCAGTTCAGGTCGATTGCTGGTCCTTCACCTATGCTGGATCATCGGCGAACTTCTCAGGCATTGCCTTCACAGATCTTAGGTTGGAGGCCATTTAGGTTCAACTTCTCGGAATGGCGATTGAAGTCTCAGAGCTGGCAGGCCACCGTGTGAAGCTGATGGCCGGGCCGGGTTGGCGATGTTCTTTGAGGCTCTTGAGACCCTGGCATACCAGGCCGGGTTCGTGTAGACAAAAGCAGATCCCATATCCGAGGGAATTCCCTTGGTCAAATCTGCGTTTGTGTTTGTGCAACATATGTTCTGGCCTCCAGGCCATTTCAGTGATTGTGGGCACCTCAGCCACCTATTGCACTCAGCCACCTGTTGTAGGATCTGCAGACGATCAGATCCGGTTACAATTTTGAGGCTCAGCCGGCTCTCCATGGGTCTGGCGGGGCCGAGGCGCCAAACGTGGGTGATCGAATGAACAGTGATGTGAGTATTGACTCCGCGTGGCCATAGAGCATGAGATCAGTGAGATGTGCATTGTTTAGATTTGGACTTGAATTCAATTCGCGTGGACATGTAGCGGTTTGAAGACATGCCCCCAAGGTAGATGGAGCACTGAACAAGTCTGGTGGGAAAGGCCTGGAGCGCGTGCACAGGTTTGCTGCGGTGGGGTTGTAGCTGGAAGGGGGCAGCGTTGTTCATATTCCAATGTACATCACCTCAGATGCTGCTTAAGTGTCGAGGGCTGGACTATACTGAACACAGTGGATGGTTTGAGTGGGACGTGCCACATGCCAGGACATGCCAGGACATTACTGAACACTGGCCAGGTTCAGCCAGGTACTGAAAGATGCCAGGCATTGCCAGGTGAAGTAAAGGCTCGAAGCCCAAAGAGTCGAAAAGCGGAGCTGAAGGAGGAGGCTCTGAAGGCAGGGGTGACCACTTTCAGCTGCAATTGAACCAGACTATGAAAGAGTTATATAAATCATACAACACCAAGTGAGCCAGAAAACAATATGTACCATAGTTTGCCAGTGCTTCGACCACTAGAACTTTCAGTTCCAGACGGCCTATCTTGTGCTTCTGGGCCTGAGTAAAAAGACGGACCGCAAAAGTGTTAAGTCCAATATCTTAGCCATGCAAGGCCCCTCAATGAGTCACGCCAGGCCCAAACAAAAAAGCAATGAGATGCGCCAAAGGGAGTAGTGCCTCAGATGTAAAGCTGCATGAGCTCACTCACAAGAGGCAAAAGGACACATGCTTTCATCATTCATCACAGTGGCTGTCACGGCCACATGCATTGAGCATGATTGAGCCTGCCCCTGCTGATGGTTGACAATGGATGGATGTTTGCGAAACCTGACTACATACAAATTCATACAAACAGTTGCCAATGTCCTTTGAGTCAACAGAGCTTCGTCCAGCAGACGTTTGCCTTTCAACACTAGTTTATATATCTCATAGGTTTCTTCAACATGGATGCTTGACTGCCTGCATGACAATGACTGACGGAGCAACTGAATGAACGGCTTCTCACTTGTTTGGCTGTTTAATTTATGTAGTTCTGGAATTAGTAAAATGCAGGTTGCGAAAGCTAGCCTTTGCCAGCTGAAGTTGCAAGAATTGGTCAGGGCAGCTCCCAGAGCAAACTTCCGATACATCGGATGCAGGCCCCCCACCCATTGTCAGGCTTCTTGTTATATGGAAAGACGTTGCATGCGGTCCGGCCTCGGGTTCAATTCCCTTGTCCCTGGTCCGATTCTTTCCGAATCGGTCCAGAGCCGTCCGCTAGCTTTCGCTCCCCCGCTGGCCTCAAGGTTGCAAATAGGAAGCTCCATGCCATGAACAACTGTACTGACAAAGTTCTTCACAGTGTTCCTCACGGCACACAGCAAGGACAGAACATTCAAGGGCACCGATCTCTTTGTCAACGCAAGATCTCCATGCCACGGAAGTGGAACGCCTGATCCGATATTTGCGCCTCATATCCTACCTTTGCGCAGGGCTGCACGCGGGTGGCGAAACAGCTCTTTAACAAGTATTTTTGCTCATTGGAATGGACAGAGGTTTGGGAATGGAAGCTGGTGAGGCGGCAGCCTACATAAAGGTGCACCAGGTGCGATCAGACCGAGAATGGCAAAAAAGTAGCGGCTTGACCAGAGAATGCCGTGACGTTCCAGAAGTACAGGGTATTCCCATTCCTAAGCAGCCAAGGGTGCGATGGGATCGATTGTTGCAAACTCTGATGGCATTCTTGTTGGTAATCTCGCCGTTGATTTTTCGAGGACACCTCAAGGAACGGCAGTTCATCTCAGCTGACAAGATCGCAGTAGATGCCTCCAACTGCCACATTCTTGTTCAAGATGGCGACTCTGCGGGCTTAAGAGTGCAGCATTGGATGTTCATGGGCACTGTAGAGCAACGATGGTCCAAGGGCACTTTGCGCGTTGCAGCTGCCATGCAACCATGGATGTCATCTTGGTTTCGATGCAGCATGATGGTCATAGCACCCTCCAATTTCAGCAACACTCATAGAGTCAAGGACCTTAAGGAGCTGAATGTGACAGTGTCGAATGGGCAACTCCCCGTGGCTGTTTTGTTGCAAGGGGGGCGGGTGCAGGGCCCGATCCAAATCTATGCCAAGACCGCTGCCGTCATTAATGCAACAGGCATCCAAAGCTCAGGCGCCATCCGCATCCGAAGCCGTGACCCAGGCTTGATACAGCTCAGGATTGGGGGGTTCGGCTGACGATTTTATGCATTTTTGTTGTTCCGATGCATTGGGCAGGGTGAATCCTTCTAGATGTTCATTACATCCTTTCTTCACAAATTACGAATCAGTGAAACAGTAATGATTCTCACTGCTGCTTTGAGAGTACTTCGTTGTTCGATGTGATTCGGGTTCTTTGCCGCATGCAGGATTGGTGAAAGTTTGGCCGCCAGCTGGGACATTTCCGGTGCCAGCCCTGTCTTCATCCAGTCGGCAGTGCCGGTCGAGATCAAAACAAGTGGGAAGCTGGGAATACTCCAGGCACCCAAAATAGAGGACCACTCTGTGAGAACGATGCAATGATGTCACTTGAAGTGGTAGGTCCCTGGTAGGTCTTGGAGGTTGAAACAGTTTCCCAATCAAGACAAATTGTGCCTTGAACATCCTTGAACTCTGCAGGACGAGTCTTCACATGTAAAGCTGTGTTCTGCGAGGATGGCGAGCAATCAGACCTTGTCCATTACCAGCCGAAGGCTAGATGGTGATTCAGGTGACCCCTTCGACTGTGAGAATGCACAGATAATTCAGTTTAATGCAACAGCAGACGCAACCGTTCATGCCAAAATTCCTTGCAGTGAAACTCCATGCCAAATGAAGGCAACCTCTCAGGATTTGCAACTCACACCGACAGCAAGGGAAGCCCTACTGGAGGTGCACGATTTTATAGAGAAACAAACTAGTGGTCGCCGGCCGTGGCTGGTATCAATTGGAATTGGAGGGCTTGATGAGCAATGGGCTTTGGCTAGCACTGCAGCCTTCACCTACTTTGATTCATCATGGTTCGCAGCGCTTTCATTTGGGGTGCTGTCGCCAATCACCATGGGGCCTTTCTTGCACTTACAAGGGGACCTCACCAATACAGCAGCTGAGGGGAGCAAAGACCTCGGAATAAAGTCATTGGTGCCGGAGGACGACCTTGATGAGGCTTGTCCGTTTTGGCGGCGTAGCTTTCAGATTGCAAAGTTGCTCTTGGAAGGCTTAGACTTGAAGCCTAGGCTTGAAGGAGTTGACTTGCAACTTAAGCAACACAACTGCAGACATGGACTTTCGTTTCGAAAGCTTGGCAAGGGCATTGTTGCGGACTGGATTGCTAAGGGATACCCAATCAACATTTGGGTAGCAATGCTAATGAACCTGTTTTGTGCTGCAATTCTGGCCATTGGTGTGGTTGCTGCCACACGGAACCTCATTTTGCCCTTTATGTACAAGCGGCTGTCAGAGAAGCTCCAGTCTGCTCGAGTTTCTCAACGTTTGCAAGTTGGAACTGTTGAGGAGACAGACATCAATGCACACTTTGTGCACTATCCTGAGCGTGGTGTCCAATTGACATGGTCGAGGCGCCAAGCAGCCCAGGGTGCTTCCACATACATCATCCGACTAGTTTCTCTCAGCGGGTCATCTGAGGAGCGGTTGCAGGTGTCAGCAGGTGAGACGGAAGTGCATGCAACAACCTACAGCTTTTTCCTTGCGTTGGATCGTGCTCACATTTTCTATTCGAAGGATGATTTCACCTTCAGTGTGCTGGCCATGTCCCGCGCCATGCAGTCGATGGATGTCACTGGATGGTCCAGCCCCGTGCGCATTGAGCCATTGTGGGCCACAGCACATCTTCCTTTCAAAATGCTTGTGTCTTTGATGCCTAGGAGCGAAGAGACCAGAATGAGCTTTCCGCTGTTTCTTCGCAGCGCTTGTTACAAGTATACTCCGCCAGCGTTGACCCTGGCGCTGGACAAACTTCATGTGATTGCTGACAGAGAAGATATTGCTGAGGACTTCCGTGTCGAGCTTTTTCTGGGCAAGGCAAAAGAAAGGTCGCAGCGCGCTACTTGTGAGAAGAAAGAACAGTCGTTTGCAATGTCCCGACTCATGACTCGTGATGAGATGGCATTGCCCAGTTCCGTTCCAAGAGCAAAAGGTTGGACAAAGGAAGATTCTGAAGATTTTTTTGGCATCGACATTCTTCCAGATCAGCCAATAAAGCTCACTCCACCATTCCGCGATGGCATGCGCAGTGGTACAACACTGCACATTCATATTGTGTCGGGCAGCTCTCGTCAGCTGCTCGCAACAGGCCACGCAGAGTGGAGTGACTTAGAGGATGCCTATGAGAGGACTCGTCCAGGTCTCGAATTTACGACGCAGGCGACCTTCTACACTTTTCCAAGACATGTCTCGAATATATTCAATGATTTGATATAAGTTGTGTTTCCTGGGTCGCGCATGTAATCATGTGCTTTGTCTTAACACATCTCAGCGGCCCAACAGCCCAACGAGTCCTCTTGCATGTCAAATTGTCATAGTGACATAGTGTCCCTGTAGTCTCGTTTCTGGTCAAATTTAGGCATTGTTTTCTTCTCGTTTCTGCTCTGTCACACAGCCTGTAATAATGCTGTTATGTAACCGTGAGGCCATCGCTACTATGGAGGCCATCGCTATTAAAAGGTTGGAGGCCATCGCTACTAGGTTGGAGGCCATCGCTACTATGTTGGAGGCCATCGCAATTAGGTTGGAGGCCATCGCTACTAAAAGGTTGGAGGCCATGGCTATTAGGTTGGAGGCCATCGCTATTGGGTTTGAGGCATCGCTTTTAGGTTGGGAGCCACCGCTATAAGTTTGGAGGCCATGGCTATTACGTTGGAGGCAATCGCTATTGGGTTTGAGGCCATCGCTTTTAGGTTGGGGGCCACTGCTATAAGGTTAGAGGCCATGGCTACTAAGTAGCGGCTACTAGGTTGGAGGCCATCGCTGCTAGGTTGCATTTGCTAGTAGGTTGGTCAATTCTTGTTCTTGATTGGGCTTTTAGGCTTTGTCACATTTCTTCGCACAGCCATCACAGCCATCGGCCCCTGCAGGTAGATCTTGTGGACGTTGAAGGTGACTCTGTTGGGGTTCTGTGTTTGAGACCGGCTTTTTGCAGTGACATGTTGGAGACACTGGGCAAAACGACTCCAGAACCAGGTTTGCGTAAGAAGGTGTGGTTCAAGGATGATGTTCCAGGCGACGTGTACCAGCAAGGTATGGATCGCTTTGTCATTTGGGGCTCAGAGGATGATTTCGAAGAGTCGATCGAGTTGTGTGACTTGTACCTGGAGCAATCAAACCAGGCAGAGCAAAAATTGATCGTTGAGGAGGTGCGATTTTCATCTGAAACATTCCCGTGGGTAGTGGATGCTGAGTTCTTGGATGTGCCGTTCGTTTGCTGCCGCATTGTTATGGTGAAGCATGATCCTGGAAGCGGAGAGAAAGAGTTTTTGTGTGCATCCAACTGGTTCTTTGTCATTCAAACCTTGACACTTAGACACCTGGAGCGCGCATATGGAGCCTTCTGCAGGATGAACAACATGGAAATGGATGGTGTGAGCTCTGTGATGCTTGAGCAGGCTGGAATCCAATCAAGACCAGTGAGCGTCAGAGGTTGCTTAGGATTGAGACGACCTTTTCCATTTGAGGAGGCAGAAGAAGATCTCATCAAATGCTCCGGAGGATTGCTTTTGACAGGAATCTCCCACACGGTACAAGCTTCTGGGAATGCAAGTGATGATCGCTACCGGCTTCGATCGCACAAAGCACTTCTGGTTGAAGGCCTTTGTTTGCTCAAGGGCCGCAGCTGCTGGTATCAGAGCCAAATGGTCTCCGAGGGACTTGACGGCTTCTTGTATGCACACGAGACTCTGGAGAATATCGGGGCCACCTTTGCAACTTCTGCGGTGGAGAGCGCCTTCAACATTTTCATGTTCTCTTATCAGCTGGTGTGGTTCTTGTCATTTCCAGCACTGGCAGTAGTCTTCCTTCAAGTCTTGGACAGCTTCCGCATTGAAGCAGCTGCGTCACATCTTTTGCACACTTCTGAGCTTGCTGCTCATGCTGAGGACATCGGCCAGCTTCCGAGAGGAGCTACACTGCTTTGTGTCTCACACGTGTTGCTCTCACTTCTGTGCATTATTGCTGCCAACGCACTGCCTAGCATGCCAGGCGCAATACCACATTTGGCAGACCGTGTGCTATCACTTTTGTCAATCTGTTCAGCTGTGCTCTCTCTTCTTTTGCTCTTCATCATGCTGCTTTTCTTTCTGATCGGAGCTTTGCTCAGTCCGGCTGCAGCGCTGAAACCGTTGGTGATCATTGGTGCTTGCCTTGCAGTTGTTGTGAATATGTGGATGCAGTTCTCAAGCCTTACTCGTGGATTACTTCAGGTGGTCGAAATCCAAGTCGACAGTGTCTTCACAATCCTGCTCGATAACATGGTGGGGCGCTTAAAGGATTACTCGCAGGCGTCTGCCTATGACCAGACAGACTTGGATTTTGCATTTGAAAAGGCTGACAATCGATTTCGAGGCTTAAATGCTGAAGGCAAGGTCATCAAGCAAATGCCCGGATCGAGACAGGAAACACAAGACCTGTTCAAATCTGTACAGGAAGATGCTGAGTTCATTCAACAGGTTCAAGAAGATATGGCCCCAATCACAGGGCGAGGAAGGGACAATGGCGATCAAGGAGAAGTTGATGTGTCCACCCAGCGTGCAAACCAACTCACCAAGCTATATCAGCATTATCTCGGCAAAACAAGCTTGGAGGAAGGGCTGGAATGGCGCATTTTTGAAGAAACGGATGCTCTGACTGACATCATGCTAAGAGAACACAACATGCGACTGCAGCTCCTGGACTTTGGTGGCATAGCATCAGCAGATAAGGAGCCCACTCAGCAAGCTCAGCAAGCTGCAAAGGTGAATGGTGTGAATGGTCCGAAGTCCAAGCCTTTGCCGAAGGCTTACCTCATCCACAAGTCCATTTTTCGTGACAGCTTTGACCATATGGCTGAGATGATCGTGCAGTGGGTTGATCCTCTATTGCAGTGGGACAGCATCGTTGAGAAGGTCACCAATTTTTTCGATGATGCTGTGCCAAAGTTCATTTGCAGCTGTGCCATGTCTAGCTTTGATGTCAACCGGATGAACAGTGTGGCCCAGAAGGTTTTGGCAAAGGTTGCCCATCATGTTGAGGAAACCATCAAGAAGGAACCAGCAAAGACCATGAAACTCAGCGACCTCATGGACGCGCTGAGAGACAAAGATGGCTGGGCCTCAGGCTTGCTCTTCTCGGATGGCGCAGACGTTCTGGATAGAAAGCAAGCATTGTCCTTTGTGCAGGATCAAGTGAAGCATGTGCTGCCCAACAACAAGACGACAAATGCCATACCAGTCTACAAACTGGTGCCTATTTTTGAAGGGCTGCTTGAGGGGCGGGTATGGTGGTCGGCCATGATTCCATTCTTGAAAGAAGAATGTGGCTTCGCGAGCGCTGAGATTGACCTAGGAGATCTTGCGGAAGGTTTCAAAACCACCTCCAAAGGCTGCGGCTTCATGGATTTTCAAGACATCCCAGATGTTCTCATGTGGATGACTGATGGTGGTCTGTGGAAAGCTGCAGCTGTAGCTTTGCTTCGTGAGATTGGTGTTGGAGGAGAGCTGGGCAACGAGAGGTTGGGCAAAGCAGAGGATGAAGCAGCGCGTGTCGATGATGAATGGGCCTGCCCGAAGTGGCCTGACTGGATCCTGGAGCGTTGGCAGGAAGCTACTGATGAAAAGCCTAATCCAGGCCCAGGAGAGGCATGTTTTTTGCAAAAGTCTGATGTGCCAGGTTTGATTGAAGATCTACTTCTCCAGATGGATAAGGATCACCTCAGAAACGAAAGTGACGTGCAGGACCTGGAGGCTTTGAGCGGCTGCCCGGACTGGAAATACAAACCAATGGACCAAGTGCAGGGGTGCCCAGCAGAGATGTGGGTGTATGTGGATGATACTCATTTGGCCAAGCTCCGTGGTGTTCCGTGGGAAGCATTTGACTTTCTGCTTGAGCAATTCGATATGGATATGCCAGAGCCTGCGTCCCGGAAAATCTTCAGCAGTGCAGACGCCTCAGCAGTGCGTGAAGGCTTCATTCAGCCCCCTGAGGTGCTGAAGATCATTGAGCACATACAAACAACATATCGCCCAATCTCTTTGAGCGGCTTCCACAAGCTGCTCTCCAAAGCTGGCATAACCCTACCCAAGCAGATTGTTGACAGCCTGTTTGGCCAGCAAGAGGACATCACCCTCAAGATTGGGGATTCGGACTTTCCTTGCCAAGATCTGGTTGATTTGGACAGGCTGGGGCCAGATGTAGAGAAATATCTCTCTGGAGGCATGTGGTTGGAAGCTGTCTACGGGGTTCTTCAGAACGAAGAGGTTGAAGCAAGTTTCATTGAGGTGTCCAGGCATTTTGCAGCTATCGACAAGCAGGACTATGGAGTCCTCAAGCCACGCGGGGTAATCCAGCTGATGATGTCGCTCCAAAGAACGGGCATCAGTTATGAGACTTTTGCTGAGATGATTTCGAAGGACATGCGCTTCACGGTCACCGACAGCCAACTGCGAATATTATTCAACATGATTGACAAATCAGGAAACGGCAGCCTTTCTAAGATTGAATTTATGGAAGGCTTTGAAGAGTTGCTGCGACAGCTGGTGCCTCGGATGATTCTCAAATCTTTGATGGTGCTGCCAGAGCAGGTGGCCAGCCACATCCTGAATACCGTCGTTTTCCTTTTGTTACTTTTCGCATTTGTGTTCACTTCCATGGAAGCACTGGCACCTGCATCCGAAAATATGGATTTCATGGGGGCAGTGCAGGCGGGTGTGGCTGGCATGGCGGCCTTAGGGGTTCAGGCACGAAGCACCAGTGGCATGGACGCTCAAAGCATCAAGGAAGCGGTCTCAGTAAGGATCAACGAGTTGCTACCAGGAGTGGCCCAAACGTCACTTCCAAATTGACTGAACTTGAGGGAACAAAGGGTCCCAACGACAATCACGAATGAATTAATCCCACAATGAATATCAAAAACTCATTATGTCTATAAATTAGTTCATCTGATATTTTTCTGAAAGACTCGGTCGAAGGGCTCTTCCTAAAGGCACTTGGTCTGTCTAGCTCAGGCTTTAGCACTTGTAAGAGCCTAGCACTAGCACTTGCAAGAGACTTGATCAAGTTCTAGCATTCGCAAAATCTTGCAAAGACTTTAGCACTTGTAAGAATTTTGCTCAGGCTTTAGCACTTGTAAGAGCCTGACACTTGCAAGAGATTCGAGAACGCTTTTGCATTTACAAGAGATTTGACCAAGCTTTTGGCATTTGCAAGAGACTTGACCAAGTTTTTGACATTTGCAAGAGGCTTGACCAAGCTTTAGCATCCGCAAGGGACTTGACCCAGCTTTAGCATTTGGGAGAGAGTTGACCAAGTTTTAGCACTTGCGAGAGGCTTGACCAAGTTTTGTCTTGACATCTCGCTGCTTCAAAAATGTGTAAAGCCGGGGCGGACCAAGCGAGAATACGCGAGAAGCAACCCTCTCGCAGGATCTGGCCTGTCGAGTGCCCAAACATGTAGCAACGTATAGCGAAATGCAAATTTGACCGGTGCTTAGGCGAGCCTCTCGCAGGATCCGGCCGGTCGAGTCCCCAAACTGTCGAGCGCTTAAACGTGTAGCGAAATGCGAATGTGACCGGCGCTTAGGCGAACCCAAACATGCAGCGAAAAGCGAATTCTGCGCATGCTTGCGCGACCCTCTCGCAGGATCCGGCTCGTGGCCTCAGGACCAGCAAGCTTATAGTACAAATGCAGTACTGGAAGCAGCTTCTGTATGAGGTGGCCGCAGATGTGGTCTCCGTATGTTTCCGCAGAATCGGCGTGCTTGCGCGACCCTCTCGCAGGATCGGGCTCGTGGCCTCAGAGCTGGCAAGCTGAGAGTACACTTATAGTACGGGAAGCGGCTTCTGTGTGAGGTGGCCTTGCATGTGGTCTCCGTAGGGTCCGGCGCGCTTGCGCCAATCGGGCTCGTGGCCTCTGAACTGGCAAGCTGACAATACAAATGTAATACGGGAAGCAGCTTCTGTGTGAGGTGGCCTCAGATGTGATCACTTTGAAGAAGATTTCGTAGTAGACGTGTTGTGCGGGAAGTAGACGTAATTAAATGTTTAGGAATTGGTCTATGTAGCTCAACTTTTAATTTTTGTAAAAGTCTAGCACTTACAAGGGACCTGATTAAGTTGTAGCATTTGCAAGATCTTGCAAAATTTTAGAACTTGTAAGAATTGCTTAGGCTTTGGCACTTGTAAGAGCCTGACATTTGCAAGAGATTCGAAAAAGTTCTTAGAAATTTGATCAAATTTTCGAATTTGCATTGGGCTTGACCAAATTTGAGCATTTCCGAGAGCCTTGACCAAATTTAATAGCATATACGAGAGACTTCCCAAGTTTGGTCTTGATAGAATTTAGCACTTACAAGAGACTTTACCAAGGTTTTGCAAGAGGTATGACCAAATTCTAGCATTGGCAAAAGATTTAACTAAGAGATTTCACTTGCGCACGCTTTGTTTCTAACTTTCGGGCCTGTAGGGGGTCTAATTTTAAAAAAAATCTGAAAAGGCTTTCAACCCTAAATTAAAAAGATTAAAATTGAACATCTTTATTATTACATATATTATATTACATAAAATGTTAATTCTTCAGCTCGTTGCATATGTCTTGTTGGAAATCCGATACGACAAACATAAATGGACTTATGATGATGCCGAATTTTTAATTTTTCGAAAGTACTGTAATTTTGTACGAACTTTTGCTGGTGTTGTTGCTGGCGCCGGTGTTGTGAGCCGGCTGCGCGCGTCGTGGAGAGAGGGTGGCGGCGTTGGTGCTGGGTGTTGGTGCTATAGCGCTGGTGTTGTGAGCTGGCTGCGCGCATGGTGGAGATAGGGTGTCGGCGCCGGCGCTGGTGCCGCTGCAGGACGTTGCTGCCAGATGTGGGGCTGAGCGCAGTTCGGGGCTCGGGCGCTGGTATCGCTGTAGGGTGTTGTTATCGGATGTGTGGCCGCGCGTTTGGAGCTTGGGTGTTGGTACCGGTGCAGCTGGGTGTTGGCGCCGCTGCAGGGTGGCGCAGGTGTGTGGCCGTGGCTTGGGAAATTGGGCGCTGGCGCCGCTGTTAGATGTGTGATCGTGCGTTTGGGTATTGGTGACCGTTGGCGCTGCTGCAGGGTAATGCGAAGAGCGGACTAATAAAATCCTCCTTGACGTAATTAATTAGATGCGTAAAATCTTTGGTCCCATTTGAGAGGTCTATTGGGTAGTGGCGGGGATGGTAGGGATAGTGGTAGTGGTAATAGGAGTAGTAGGTAATAGTAGTAATAATAATGATAAAATTAACATTAATAATAATAATGACGAAAGATTATTTATATTATTTGATATTTTTGCTTTAGCAAATAATATTAATATTAATAATAATAATGACGATAAATAATTTATATTATTTGATGTTTTTACTTTAGCAAAAATATAATATATAATTTGCAATTGGGATTATATATTGAATTTGGTTTTATAAAAAAGGATTTTGCTTTATAGGGGCGGGGGCCTTGGATTATTGTTGTTTTGCGTCGTCGTTATTTAATAATTTCTTATTAATGTTTATAACGAAAATTAGCATGTTAGTTGAATTCTTCTTTGCTTGAACAATTGGTAATGGAATGAATTGCGTGTCTTAAAGCTTGCTATATCACACTAAGGGGGGAGGCCTGGCCCCCCCCCCCCCCCTTTAGCGGGATATACCCCCCCAAGGCCCCCCCCCCCCCCCCCGCGCGCGGTTCAACTCCCAGCAGCAGGCGTTTTGGCATTAGTGGAGGTGTTGTTACATATTGGAAATTGTTGGTGTTTTGTTTGGTATTTTTGATTTTGGGGTGTGCATTCAAAGGCAGGATGTCAAAGACATTATGCACTTGAATTTTGGATGATCTTGGGTAGCGGAAGCATACGTAATTATTGGAGAATCAAGATGATATTTATGGGATTTTGCTTGCGTTTTTGCAAAACATCCATTGATTTAGTGTTTGTATTTAGGATTCATTGAGGAATTTTGTCGGAAGCATGGTTAGGAAGCATAATCATTTGCTCGTTTGTTTTTGTGGACGCATCACATAACATTTCGGCTGCGCCTCGTTAGTTGATGAATCTTCACTACCTGAGAGCAACGTGTTTGAATTTACTGTCTTCGACATGTGTGGTTTGGCAAAATTGTTGATTGTATCTATACCCGCCAGATTTACTACCGGCTATTGCCCCAAGACACTCTATTCCTTATGCCTTTTACCAGTGTTTAGCCTACACTACGGACGCCCTAGTGTATGTATAGTCCGTGTGATGTCAGAAATGTTCACCCCTCTTTCCTACCCAAGGCATACAAAAACGGTAGGTAATCACGAAAGCTAGCATGCTAGCTGAGTTCTTCTTTGCTTTAGTAATTGGAAGTGGAATGAGCTGCGTGCCTTAAAGCTTGATCACGAAAGCTAGCATACTAGCTGAGTTCTTCTTTGCTTTAGCAATTGGTAGTGGGATGAGTTGTGCGCCTTAAAACTTGATATATCACGCTAACCCCCCCCTCCCTGAAAAGTAGAGCCTACCTGTACAGGGTTCCACTCCAACAGCTGATATAGTGTGTCCATGCTTGACTGCTTCAAGGCTCAAAGAGCAAAAGGATAAGACTCTGCGTATACAAGACATTAGCGGTCTGCACCTCTACCGTGTACGCCCTAGTCATTCTTTCAGTGGTAGCGGAGCAGTGATCCTGGAAGACCCAGGTGAGCTCCTTTCCTAGGCATAGACTTGCTAGTGGGCAAACAGCCATGGATTGGATTGACGACTGGGAAGAGCCTGATGCGGATGTGGCTTATGAGCCAGCAGCCTACGTGAATAGGCATGTGAGAAGAGAACCAGCAGCAATAGCAATGACAACACAGGTCACTACAAAGGTGCCCCCATCTTATGATGGAAAGACTTCATGGTTTTCCTATGAGGATGCCATAGACGATTGGTGTGATATCACCGAGCTGGAGGATGAGAAGAGAGGACCAGCATTGAGAAACAGATTAGAAGGAGAAGCAGCTGTATACAAGCGTGTTTTAGACAGAGATGCATTGAAGGCAAATGATCCACCAGGAGCCGGCGTAGAATATTTCAAACGAGTACTACGACCATATTTCGTGAAAGGATCAACCAATATATTCCTGTATAGATTTATGCAATTCGTGCGCTTCAATCGAGGATCAACTGACATGATGAAATGGATGACAAGATTCCAGATTTTACTCCAAAGGCTTATGAGCAGTTGGATGGACATGTTGGAACCAGTCACTCAAGCACATCCATAGGTCCTAGCTCAGATGCAGGCAGATGCAGCGTTGACTGGAGTAGCACCAACGGCAGAAAGGATTCAGGAAATCATGCAGATCATCAATGGCAATATGAGGACTTTTCATCAGAACGAATTTCCTCTAGGAGAAAATTTCATTGCCTTACTCATGCTGTCACTTGCAGATTTGTCTCAGGACCAGCGAAACACTTTGACTTCTTTGATGACTCATCGTGGCAGGGTCCTGCAGCAATACACTACAACAGAGTTGAGGACAGTTTTCATTGAGATGTTCTGCACGACAAAGACTTCAGTAGACAATCCTTTGGTGCAGCCAACAGGTGCTGGAGGTAGAAGATCATTTCTCGTACTAGACGAAGGAGAACTCGATGGTACATTTGGCTATTGGGCCGAAGATGAAGAAGACGGAACAGAAGGATTTTTAGATGCCCTGGACGATGTCTTTTGGGTATATGATGATCAAAACTTCTCGTGGTTCCAAAGGAGATTCCAAGGAAGAAGAGCCAGAAAAGGCAAAGGAAAAGGAAGAAGAAAAGGAAAAGGTAAAGGAAGATCAGGCCGCAGATTTTTCAGACCTCGTGGAAAAGGAAAAGGAAAGAGACGAGGTAAAGGCCATTTTGCTGATGAGCAACAGACAACATATCCAGAA